GTTATATACAATCCACATCATCGGGAAAAGGAAACGAGAAACTCTGTCAACTGTTTGAGCGACGGATCTCGTKCGCATGTCTGGCTCTTCTTCGTTTAGATCTGGTATATCATTGTTGCATGGAAGCGAGATCTCGCTCACGGGATCATTTTGACAAGAGGAATTCTCCTGTTTTCCAACATGCATGCGTGAAAGTTCAAATAGTTTGCCATTTTCYTCGTTTGAAGGGTTCGTATGCATCAGTCTGGTTCTTGTTATTGCAGGCGAAGACTGAGTGAAGAATGCTTCCAGTCGTTTTTTCGTTGGATTTTCAWTCTCTTGTTTTTCTTTTTTCTGAAAAAGTTTTAAACTTAAACTTAGTAATGTTTTCTAAAACCTTTTTATTGAAGCTAATCACGTTTACAAGCTATTTAATAGCTTTATATTAAGAACRAGAAAATAACTTAATTAATCATTCAACTGCTTTTATTTGCCACGCGCGCGCGTGTGGTTTTCCCGCCACACAAAAGCCCRCCAAAACATGATGAAGTTACCTTTTTTGCTTCTAATAATTTCTCCCTCTTGTAATACTTATCSACTATGATACACTCAGCAATGCTTAAGAAGATGAATAAGAAAGATATCATCAGATACATATCCATTCCTTTGACATAGCTGACCTGAAAAAGAGTAGAAAGTATGAGAACATTACTGAAGCATGGCAAYAGGAAAGGCATACCAACGAAATTGTTTGCAACAAAGCAYGATGGGAATTGTAGTCCTCGCACTTTTACAGCCCCTAAAATTTAAGGAATAACGACGCGAAGCGGAGTGGTTTCCAGCTTCTCGAGTGTTCTCTCCACATCCCAAGTGTTTTTATCAGAGTATAATACAGGGAAAACTCAGTTTTTTATTGCTTTTAACAAGCGCTCAAATATTCATGAGAAAAAAAAAGCCGAGAAAAAAAATGACGCGAGCGTGTATTATGTATAGTTTCAAACACGGCTTTTTGGCCAATCAGAGCGCGCGTAATATGAAAGTTATTTTATGAGTCTCCCTTAAAAGCCGTTTTAATGTTTTCTATGAAGAAACGGCAAAGCTACTTAGTTACTTCTGTTTTTGCAAATGAAAAGCAGAAACGACTTTTAAAACAGGAGGAGAGTTCTTCGAACACGGAAAAGTGCGAGGACCAAAACTCCCATAATGCTTTGTAATAAAAAATATGGCGTCGCTATTAAAAGAACTGCTTTGTGTATTCCTTTCCTTAGTACTAAAACTATCGTCTCACCTTTGGTAAGGAACCATTAGTATAACCCAATAAAAACATGATCGTTAAGATGGTTGTTATGCCAACGGTTAGTCGGTTTCCAGTCTCTTCCGTGCTCATCCAAAATACGATCCAACTGAGCATGACCAGAAACGTACAAGGGACATACGTCTGTATGACGTAATAACCCACACGACGTTCAAGTGGAAACGTGGCTATCAACGTCGTGAAGTTGCCTACATTTATAACAAAAAAATTGTAATCCGACCTTTATTATATGTACAGTTGCGATAACTACGCGCATATTACAAAATGATGATAGAGGGTTCTTTTGATGTTTTCTTTTTGTTTCCAGGGAACGCTACTTCAACTTTTTCTTAATGCACCGCGTGCCTGTAAGCAGCACTTCCCTAGATGCACCGCGAGCCGCTACATCAAAATTCCCTTCATTCACCGCGCGCCGCTATACACCCTTCTTCCTTCGACGCACTCTACACTGCCAAAAAGAGCTATAGAACCTAAATACTACAGTCTGATATAAAGCATCTTGATCATCTTACCAGAAGGATATGACAATGTGTTTGACGAAAGGCTCACTTTGGTTATAAAGAATTGCGCCATTTCTTTGTTTTCGATCTTGATTGAGGTCTTTTCCCAACTAAGCAAAAGATCACTGTCACTTTCTGTATCTGAAAATTTGATTCATGATTTAATGTAAACTACATGATGTAGATCTGTATTTAATCTACTTACAGCTCGCAAACTTCAGATAACACTTTTGAAGATCCATTGGGAATTCACGCAAGTCCATGTAGCATGCAGCAACAATTTGTGCTCTAAAGTCAAAGCAAAAATAAGGATTAATTGATTTTTTATCAAGCTTACGTACTGTAGAACAAACATATGCCATTAGCTATGGTATTTTTAATGATAGTAGTTAACAAATAACACTAAAGATATGAACCAAGCCGGAATATACGGTAATGATTGTCTGATAGTGATGGAATTTAAATTAAATAAATATCCTATTAAGGCAACAAGCTTTCCGCGCCGTAAAACAAGATCATTATGATAGTGATGATAATTCTAATCAAATAACCTGAAGGCAGAAACACAAATTATCGAAAACCGGAGTTTAAGATTATACGATGGATGAGATAATAGTTATTGTGGTAAAACTTTTAATGTAAATTGATTCGAACCACTTAAAAGTTACTTAAATGGTTATAGTGGTAAGATAATCATCAAAGGGGATTATGAAAATTGAGTTAAAATTAAAGACTGTCTGAACCCTTAAGTTTTTGCATCTGCCAAGTAATGATTTCCCATAATAGCTTTGGCGAAGTACAGCACCATGGGGTTGAATAAAGTGCAAAGTAAACCATCTTGTTAAATTGCTTTTAATTTTATCGTGTTTCTGGTGCTTCGGGCTGTTTTTCGGAGAACATCTAAATTAATGCTCTTCCAAAGGGTTCTTGACTTGAAATAGCGGTTATTTCTCGAAGAAACATCCGCCACCTTAATTGAATCAATACCATGATGCAATTCGACAAAAAAACATGACGTCATCTGGCTAGACGGTCATTCAGTTGTATACTCTAGTACGCCCTCCAATTTTTCTTTCTTGGTCTAAGTGTACCTATCTTTAAGTACAAGATTCTTTCATAAAAAGAACCTTCGAGAGCGCGGGGTGTAACTGTTGCCTATGCACATTAGCAATTTGCATTTCCATTTAAACGCGTAGATCACACGAGTCTAAATAAATACTTTCTGATATTTTATTCATCATTATCACTCCTATCCTACCCTCTACTGTAGTACAAAGATCCATCTGGACTCAACGTGAGTGAGCTGTGGACCTCGCTATCTGGCAGCATAAGATCTGATGTTTTTGCGTTCGAGCAGTACGTTACGGGAATCCAAATTTTGCTGATCTGTTCACGTGATAAGATAACTGATGAGTTGACGAGGTTTTTAAGTCGATTGTCTTTCCATCGCTGACGGTAGTACAGATAAACTGAGAACTCCTAGAAAAATGAAATAGTGTTACAGTTGCTATGTTTTCTCCATTGGGTCTTCTTTAAGAGTAACCAAGGATAAGCGCATACTGAGCTCTGAACAACCCGACTCTGTGATGGTATTTACCTTATTGGGCGCGACGTCAAACAGTACGGAAGAGCGCGTTCCAACTGTTATGACTTATCATGGAATGTTTGATAGGGACTTTACATTAAACTACGTTGTCTAATTACGTTAACGCTGCGCTATACTTGCGTTACGTTAATGGCTTATTGCTTCAACAATGTGTTACGTCGGCGTTGCGGTATATTAGAGCGGATTTCGTATGACTGTGCAAAAGCACGGATCACAACACGGCTACGGCACGGTACGGTCACAGCACGCCGATCGTACCGTGTTTTTTTTGCACAGTCATACGAAATCCGCTCTAGCATCGCATTCTTATCATCCGTGTCTTACACGTTTTGCCAAGTGAGCCGTCGGTAATTACGTACGTCAAGTTGCGCTTCTATTGCATTAACGTTGCGTTTTTGGTAAACGGTAAAAATCATTACGTAGCGTATTAATCAATTTCTTACCATATCAGCTTCTTCTATTTTGCCAAATGATACAACATAGAAGTCAACTGACACATTCGTCCGTGATCCTAGGAAACAACAAGGATGCATCGTGAGTAATGGTAAACATTAAGATGAAAGAAAGGAGACAGACAGACAGACAAACTGACTAAGAGCATTGCTAGTTGACAAAGAGCATTGCTAGTTGACAAAGAGTATTGCTAGTTGACAAAGAGCATGGCTAGCTGACAAAGAGCATTGCTAGTTGACTAAGAGCATTGCTAGCTGACAAAGAGCATTGCTAGTTGACAAAGAGCATTGCTAGTTGACAAAGAGCATTGCTAGCTGACAAAGAGCATTGCTAGCTGACAATGAGCATTGCTAGCTGACAAAGAACATTGCTAGTTGACAAAGAGTATTGCTAGTTGACTAAGAGTATTGCTAGTTGACTAAGAGCATTGCTAGCTGACAAAGAGCATTGCTCGTTGACAAAGAGTATTGCTACCTGACTAAAGACTACCTACCTAGAAACCTGGCTGGTTTAATGCCAGATTGACGAGCGATCTTTGTGAATAACTGGAATAAGAACAATCTTCACTGACGGAGGAACGGACGGACTAACTGGCTCTCAATAACTGGCTGACTGACGGTTTAATGACAGGCTCACTGTCTGTCTTACTGAACGACTAACTGTCTCAATGACTGGCTGATAGTGACTGACCGACTCATGGCTGACTGTCTGACGGAACAACTGACTGGCTGAACGATTGAGTAACGATTGACTGACTGTCTATTTTAAGGTGTAACTGTATGTCCTATCGACCTGACTGACTGAAGACCATCTAACTGAATAAGACTGATGTCTGATTGGCTACTTACCACAGTTTGGTCGTACAGCTTTGTCATAGTTCTGTGTTATGTAATCTGATAAACTTAGAGTGACGTTTCTTTTACTTTCTTCTTTAACAAAATACTCGCTGCAAAACGTATGAACAAATTATGGTTAGGATAGGTCTTGCAATATTTATTCTAATTATTGCTACTTCCTAGGAGTTTTTCAGTAGTTTCATAAGATAAAAATGGGCCTGATTACGTGGGACTACAAAGGAGTTAGTCTCACCACGCTACCTCATATTAACTGGGTCTTAGAATGATCAACAAAAAAAACGTCCTTCCTAATTAAAAGGAAAACAAATTTCGAATTGCTTCAAAGTGTCCACGTTTGAAAGGCCATACATAAAACGATCGTGTGCTTGGTGAAAAAATTAGGAAAGGCTAGACACCAAAATCCCCCCACCCTTCCCCTCTAGATCCGCCCTTGCTACACTAATTTTAATTCAACTGGTTCAGTTTTTTATGCAAATGATCATTTAAATTCAGTTGAGCCGAATTTTACTTTTCATAGCCGACGTTTTTTTTCGCAATTCCTATTTGGATAAAAGAAAAAAATCACCGATTACAATATCAATATATCAAAATAAAAGGATAAAAACCTTTTGTGGCGTTTTTTTAATTCCTATACGATGCGTCTGAGCTGACAGACGGCTAATACCGCAATCGGATACAAAAGCACATTTACGATTGGAAGGATAAAACGAAAGCTCTTTCACTACATAGCTTATTCCGCATTTATTTTCTTCATTTCAGTTCCGACCGCAACATTGTCAAACAAGAGCTATTTCATTAAGAACTAGAGTAATAATTATGTGTTATTTTTAAGCCCAAAATTTTGAGCGAAAGGAACGGTTAAAGCTATTAAGATTTTTTTCAGCTCCTCGACCTGGGAGTAAATGTGCTCACACAGTTTTTTCTTTGCGCCCCTGCGGTTCAATGACATGGGAAAAAATGTGGTCACACTAAGTACCACTCTCGTAAAACTTTCGCAACATACACATTCGTGGTTTCGAGTAATGAATCACCATTCTTTTTTTAATAAAAAACACTCAATCGCGCACGTAAAAACTACTTCTAATTGATACTTACTGGCTAGCCTGCGTGCAGCTCAGAGGGAAATTCTGGCTGTACGCACGCAACCTGATGGGAAAACGCTTCAAATAATACTGATTATCAGGTTAAACTTTGGACGTAAGTTAAAACCGCATAACAATGAGGTAATAGATTAAACATAACGATATCTGATTAAAGTCATCACAAAATCATCAACTTCATCAACCTTTGAGGATTTTCCGCGCGAACACAGAACAATTACCGTGAAATATTCATGCGTGATGATTGGAGCATGCAGTAATGTTTTTGTTGCCAAAAATATTTCACGACAGTGTAGCTATAATATTTTTATTGTTTACATATTTGACTTTAGTTTTCAAACTGTGTTGCGCAAGAGTCTAGAGCATATGTTTTTGAGCTAATTTTACATTTTCAAGTATCAATGACTCGATGAAATGGAACTCTTCCATTTATGATAAATTCTCAAAGGTTATAGTTCACAACCTTATATAACACTTCTTGTAATAAATAATATTATTTGAAATACAAAGTAATGTGTTAATGATGTAGAAGATAGTGATAATTTGTACTAGCGCAAGCATATTCAACCAGATGCCCGCGGCATTAGGAATCTTCACAGGTGTGTGACATACTAACAGAAGTAGAACTTATTTCTCAATAATAAATTACAGGAAGCTTTTAAAATAATACTAACTAATATATAGAAATACTTTGCTAGTTTCTTCAGGTAATTATGTTCAAAAAGATAAATGGTATTTTGCAAAACAGAAAAAATTTTGTCACCGCAATTCTTCCCATGAAAATTTTRTAGTATTTTTAAGTGAGAGAAAATAATATTGTATATAAACCAGAAACCTGCTCGCCAAAGGCAAAAACGTCACTGAAAGGAACCTCGGCCGTTTGAAACACTATACGACACTATATATAGTTTTGCATTTGAATATACCCCATAGGATAGAATATTTCACTTTTCTAAGAATTTGAATTGCTAAGTTACACCTTGGTATATAGAAGGGCATTTTGAAAACTTACCAAGCGAAAGCACTGGCGAAAAATGTCAAAATAAGTCCAACAGTTGTCCAAGTCGTCATTTTTGAAGTTCTTGTTGGAGATGACTTCTAGTAATACACACATGGTTCACTGTATTAATATATTATCAGCAACACAAAAAGTAAGTTTCGTTATGATTGGTTAACATTGAGGAACTGCCAATCCTTAAACCCGCCAATCTCTCTTGATCTATTAAAGTCCAATTATTCAAAATTCAGAGGATTTTTCATATTCATTAAATGCCTACTACCTGTGTATACATTATTTATGAAGGATTAGTAAAGGAAAAGGAATTTAAGATTGCTAGCATGAGTTTTAAGACTTCATAATATCAGTCTGCCTGTAGGTTTATGTTAGGAGTATCGCCAAGTCGAAATGAGCGGTTTGGTGGCATTATCGGTAATTCGGCAGAAGATATTTGGGATTATTTCTCCATAGGCTCTCAGCGCATAGTTCATTATATTTTTTTTCATTGCATTGTTCTTTGGTAAACGTTTCTTTGCGGTTGGTTTGAAACAGTGAGAACGAGGTGTATTAATATGTTTAACTGACGAAATTTGCATGCGTTTCTTGGTATTCAAAAAGGCCCGAAGCCGAGCTTTATTACGGTTGATTTTTTATGAGTACAAACTTTTGATATGTTCTAACCGCTTTAGCAATAACTTCACTTGCGCAAAATAATAAATCAGTACGATAAAATGGCGTGAATGGCTGTGGTAACGAGAGCGGACGCTTCGCAGCTAATTTAGTTCGCGCCCCATACGTCTTTGGTAAAATTACTACTCTACGGAATTACAATAATTGCAACTTGCTAGCGAAATAATTCGCCACTTGAGCATTATTTCTACATTTGTCATGCTTTTCTTTCCTTAAAGATGCCACTAAACAGTTTAAAGTGTTTTGCTTTTTAACACTATACTTTTAGTGATTTGAATCAACATTTATTGAGAAATGTTTCAGTTTGACAGGTCATTTTCGTCTCGACGACAAAACCGGGTGCATTCAATAAGGGATTTCAGGATACCATGGAAACTCAAATCTGTTATGAAATTAGTGTTTATTTTTTTCGAAATCTGCATGAGAAAAACAGAAATGCTTAATTGTGTTGCACCTTCTAAACCAAAACATAGATGTTTTTTTCTGAAGAAAAAACTACAGCATCTCGGTTAAAAAGATGGCTTTTTTATGTAATGCTGTAAAACAAAGACTAAAAAAAGGAAAAATTCTTTCAAGTTTGGTGGCCCCCCAAGAAACTTAAAACATGCCACTTTAACAAATTTTTGATAGCAGTATTCATATGTTAAAATAATAAGAATAATCTGAAGGACATTTTAAAGAAAAATAAATGGYAGGTACATGAACCACATAGAAAAGTTCATGTTTGTGAATTAAAGTTCCAATTTCATTGAGCTAGTGTTACCTTTGAAAGAACTAATGAGCAGAACACAAGAGATTAACTGTAATATTCATTTCCACATTGAGATGTGAGCTTCCGAAAGACTGTTTGCTTTTCAAAAATATATGCTTTGCATAGTGTACTATAGCTGTTCAATTATTTCAGTCTGAATAGAAAATTCGAAAGATTTCTTCTTTTTTCACAGTTTTCTACGAAAAGTAAATATATTTACACTTTTTTTAAATAAATATTCAGGTTGTCTTATCCTTGATTTAAAAGCGGTACGAATAATTTATTTGCGTAAAGACATCTTAAAAGAGTGTAAAGTTTCGGAAAGATGCGTTTTACGGTGACTTTATGCAGTACGAAAGGCGTAAACTTTTCTATTATTTTTGAAAACTAACCTGTGTTGTACTAAACATCTCTTTCGGTGATTCTCCTAAGATAGAAACAGAGTTCTGATGAGTTCATTGTGACGGGGAACAACAACTATCGTCTTGCGTGCTCTGGCTTAAGCCTATATGGATCTCGTACTGTATGTCTGATGAAGTGAGCGAATTAAATAGATACCTGTTCGTTGAAATGATTAAAACACTCTTCGTGGGCTAATTGCATCCAATGGATATGCAAAGCAGTCAAGGTTAAAGCGGCACTCCTTTGCGCAACAGCGACAAGCAAATCAACAATGCAAAATCGATATCATGACATCGCCATAAAAGAAAAATATAAACAAGGGAATTCAGACTATTGGAATCAATGGGGAAAAATTGATCTGAAAAAGTTAATTTAACTGTATTGTTTGCGCGAAAATCTGAAAGCAATCAAAGGAATTTCAAGGGTTTTGATGATAAAATGAGTCATGTTACATAATTGGTGGAGAACGGCTTTTGAAGTCATTCAAATCATTTTACGTTTTCATTTCTTAAAAAAGTGCCACAAACAAATGATTTATACTTTTCAATCGGAATAAGATAACACTAATAACAAAATGCTTTGTCAAAGAAAAATTATGATCGACACTAAAATAGCTATTATCGCGAAACTCAGGTTTGAGGCCAAAGTTTATGAAAAATTCATAACAAAGCTACTGGAAGAAACTCTTTTTTCCAGACTATTAAAAAAACGTTTTTTTTTTCATCGTGTATTAAATATTTAAAAAACCCATATGATGTTAAATGAAAAAACAGTTTATGTGCTGTATAAATTATACTGGTATGAAATACGACACTTTAGCTTACAGGTGCTGAACAAAGAAACTGCTTTTATCAGTCCTTATGTATTCTATGGGTGCTATAGATAATATAATTTTCATTACGCTTCGCCTAACCAAAACATTAAAACCTTTATTCAACACTTCACCGATTTGATGATAAACTTATATTATATATCTGGGCTGCAAGTCTTATACTCGGGGGCGACACTAGAAGACAAAACACATCCTTTTTGATTCATTTCAGTTTTGAAAATTGAAGATTAAAAGCGACGGAGTTTCTGTTTATGGACTTAAAATTAATTTAGCGTCGTTGTTATTAAGATATCCCACAACTTCTGGAAAAATTCATAAAATACACCTTAAGACCTGCATCGTTCAGAAGTCAGTAGCTGGTAAACACTTGCTGTGAGCGAGAAATGTTGTGTCAATGTTGTGTGAGGAGATTCCTCAATTAGCGGGGTATTTTTTATCCGACTTGGAAAATTAAAACTTTAATAAAGTCATTAGTTTTGGTTTATTTGATTGTGTTCAGGATTTCTGAACTGGGAAAAAGTAATAATAATGAAGGTATTTAATCCGTGAAAAAAGGCACTAATATCTACTTTCGTAAAGAAGATTGATGTTTCAAAGGATTTCCCGCACATTTATGTGCAGATTTAGTGAAAATTTTTGATTTTGTAAAATTTCACGGATTATATGGGTTCGCCGTCTAACAAATACATTATCTCGATAAAGATACCATCATTACCATCAAAATAAGTGTCCTACCATCCAAAAGAACTGTTATGCAGAACATTATAGATAACTCGAAACTCCCAATATCTTATAGAAATACAGATTTATTTTGTCTTCGCTTCCACTTTTTAGATTCCAATCTCATTTTGTATTAAAAAAACATTGTACATCGTTGTAAAGTTCAACGATAAAAATGTTCTAAAAACAATATTTATTATTAAAAAGTTTTGATTATTTTTGGAGCAAGATTTTTTTTTAAATTCACTCAAATCTTACTGGCCTCAATAATGAAATAAAAATGAAATAAAATAAATAAATAAATAAAAAATAAATATTTCTTACCTTTATGAGATCAATAGCACTGAGAGATTCCTTTTATCCAGCTCGACGTCTATACACAAAACCTTTATAAAATATAATAAAACATAGACTACAAGACTGAAATCACATCCATTTCAATTACTTACAAAAAATTATGAACAAAAATAGCGCCCATACAGTACATAGAGAAACACATATGGGAACYCGTGGATTGCATAACATGTGGGTTGATCACGAATGATGATAACAAGTATTCTCATTTCCTAATTTTTTGGCGAAAGGCCGAACTTCAAACAAGTTTAAAGTAAAATTCACATTAGATAAACTACAGAGATATCAGCAACCTGCGGAGTAGTATTATCTATGGCAGGATATAAACGAGGACGACGAAGGCTGACCACCGATATGAGGTTTACTTTGGTACATATTGAGTGTAATTTTGATTTTATCCCGCTAAGCCCGCTGTGAAGTACGTCTAGAAACGGTGCAATATTAATAAGCCGCCCTCAAATGGTTGCACGGCACATTTTCCGCGATTTTACGGTATAGTTGAGTAGGTCTAGCGGTCGACTATCGGATCACTTATTTTCACGATAAAAACCTAAGCCAAGTTCATGCGTCACCATGCTGTTTTGGGATTATCATTCAGCCGTTTTATCTACGTTTCTCCGCAGGCAGCCCAACGTCATTGTTACAATGTTTACTTGCGATTTCTAACAGTCATATTCAATTTCTATAAGTGTTTTTATGAATAAGAATGACTCACCTTGAAAACTTGCTGTGCTGCCTGTTATACTTGGTCGAGTTCAAAGCCATTAGGACGCGGTTTCACTGGGTTGCTGAACTGGAATTTTCTTTTCCTCGGTGCAGCTGTCGTCCTCCTGCTAAGAAAACACAGCAGTGTGGACGAGGCACGATGGTTGTTCAGTTGTTCATTCTTTTTAATGTTTTAAGCTTAAATCTTTTTGTCGTCGTTAGAGAAGGAAAGCGCTGCATAGAAATTCACGATAGTCTTTCCGTGCGTGGAAATAGCTTATTATAGTTTGCTAAATATTTTTTAAAACATTGTGGAATTGAATAGCGATTACGTAGTTTACATTGAGCACTTAGACAATACGCAGATGCGGGACTACGTAGCTTAAATACACAAGGGCTACGTAGTTGACACTCAAAAACTCCACGACTACGTGGATGACCATGAAACGCAGTGACTACGTAGTACGGATATACAGCCTTGACTACGCAAGCGATAYGCAGTGACTACGTAGATAACAATAACGTATTGACTACTTAGATGAGAAGCAGGAACTAATTACATGTCCTGAAAACCCGCTACGCAGGCTAACTAGATGTCGCGCTGTGCCTACGCACTAAAATAATACGTAGATGGAAACGTAATTCAGCGTTTTTCCTTTTTTTTTTTTTTTTTTTGCAAATTAATATATCTATCCACGAGTTATTACGCGGTTAAGAAATTAAAATGTTTTTATCATGGTGATAAATAGTGTTTTCCCAGGAATTCTTTTGTTTGTTAAACATAATTAAATTAAATTTTTCTATTATTGTGAGAATAGCGACGTGTGGCCTCAAGGTAGAGAGGTTGTTGACTGTCTTCTTGAAATATCTTATAATGAGTGAAAGCAAGTGTCAGATACTGCGGTCGGCGCGGGCAATAAACATAAATCATAAAAAAATTGTACGTGATCTCTTGACAGAGTAATATCGAAGCAGTATGAATAGCACTTTTAAGCTCATATAGCAGCCTTTCACTTCGTTGAAAAAATATTCAGCGAAAATAGGAAAGGACAGCAAAAAACACGCTGTAGACACTGTAAACATCCCGTCTAATTACTAGATGCTAATTATGTTTTTAAAACCGCTAGACTCTAGTCCGCTGGGCTGAAGGAAAACTAAAGTATTCCTAATAATACTTAAATATTTTCATCAACCTTCTCTTCCTTGAAAAGCCAAATGAAGTACGTTTTTAATGCCGTTCATTGAAATGCAAAGTTGACCAGGTTTCTAGACAAAAAAGGAATTCATATGATAGCTATATGAAATTAGAAGAAATTGTTGAAATGATTTATTTATATTAGCCATATTAATATTATTTGCAGAACTGAAAGTCTTTTTAATGATATGAGGTAAACACATTCCATCCACCTTGTCAAACGCATTAGGAATATTCCAATTTTTCGCCCCCGAATCGGTAAATATGTCGAAATAATTTGGCATGAAATACTTGACTTCTCTCACAATTAATAAGTTCAATTTACAAGCAAATAGCTTTTTCTTTTTCTGTCAATTTATCGCGTAAATGAAAAGAAAATTTAAACATTCAAGCGTGTGTTCTCAAACGAGGGGTGGGCGCAAGGCAGCTGGTCCGAAATTTTCAGGGCTCATATCATCTTTATAATGGATGTCCAGGGTGCAAAAAAAAAAAAAAAAAAAAACCTGCTTTGTAATGAGGCTATACGGAATGATCAATTCATCTCTTTCATATTTGTGAATTGAATCAGTATCATACAAAAAGCTTTGCCGATAGATTTCTGTCTCTCTTACTGCAGAAAACATTGAGTTTCAAGATGGCGGCCGAAATTATGATCGAACTGATATTAAGCTATTGCCTTTGAAAACGTCTTGAGCATTGCGGTAATACCAAAAATAACCGAGAATAGGAATAAAAGACTTAGAATCGTGATCTTCTTGGGATGACACTAAATAAAGGGGAAAAGAGAATAAATAAGAGATAAATCACTGAAAATACAAAAAAAAAACACACACACACACAAAAAAGCCGATAATTTTTTATATTGCCTCAGAAAAATCGTCATTATAAACAGCATCTATCTTGTAATTCTTAGTCAGACCAATACATATTTAATATAGTAATGATAGTTGCTAATTTGTTAGTGAAGGAACAACCATTTAAGGGCCGTAAAGTTACGTAAAATAAGATTGAGATAACGACTGAACTTCATCAAATCTCGTTAGCAGAAACAGAACACTCTGTGCGAATATCAAACGTTGTAAACAAGATCTGAAAAGCGGTAATTTCTTTGTATAACTTAACTATAAAACTGCGTATAAAAATCCTTACCTTGGATGGATTTCTTTATCGTCTTGCTGTGTCATCGAGTATATCTCATATCATATCGACTTGATCTGGGTTTATTAGGTCAATTAGGCATTTATCGCTTAAAACTTCAACTGGTCTCCTGAATTTTACCATTTATTAGTCTTATTACATTGGCGGTTTCCTAAGTAGCAAAACTCCAAGTAAACTGCCTTTCATCTCATAAAAAAGTCAATTTTCCCCGATAAACACGACCAAAAATTGGATTATGGACACCGCCGGCACTATAAACTGAATCAGAAAGACTCCTGGAATGTTCAACAAGTTAATATAATTTACATCACTTAAAACGAAGATCAATAGAAAAGCAATACTTAAACTTCTGTCCGGAAGAACGAGAGGGCGTCAAAACACGTGCGTCAATTAAAAGACTGAATGCAAGTACACTTTAGGATCAAGTAGGCGAACAAAGAGTTGGCTCTGAGGGAGTCTGACAAAAGACGCAAGATTTTGGCGTTTCGGTGTTCGCTGAAAATTGCTGTCATAGCGAAAAAATTACATGATCAGACTTACATCAATAAACTGGTTGAAAGTAAAGATCACAAGACAACTCCACATTCTTTTCTGACGCTTCAAGGTCGCGTCAACCATGAGAGCAAATTTGAAGCTTTGATGAATGAGACTACATACGACGCAAAATATAAAAGATATCTCAGTGTATCAACGCCAAATAAAATCGAAAGGACGAGGCACAGTCGAGATTAATCGGATCAAAACGAGGCACAGCCGGGATCGGAGTAACAAAATAACAAGAAACGCTTTCGTCATTTCTATAATCCAAAATACACAAAAAAAAGTCTTTAAAAACGATTGTGCTGTAAACGTCAAAGGGCGCATCGATATTGATTTTCCTCTGCATTTCTATCATTGGAACTGATTTAATTAAACAATATTTGTTGTGCAATCTTTTTGGGGTTAAAAATCGGTCAGCCAGTTTAACATGGACTTCACTGTCTTTACTTACCACAGGGAAACTATAAGCGAAATTGTTTTAATTCTCAACAATATCCATACCGGATGAAACAACATTAACTTACAGCAAACATACCACTGAGCATCTAATGACTTTGATGGCTACCTACGTCTTACCCTCGGCGAGTTTATAACAAAGTCTTAAATTAACCTTGACGCTCTAGTTGGCTTTCTCTCCCACGAGATTAGACTTAGCCCTTTCTGGTTTCTGAATAACGCACCGGAAAAAAATCGCTCACTTTAAAGGTTGTAAATATGATGTAAGTGTCCAAAATGATTTCAATTTGATGTAAATGATGTCAATTTGATGTAAATGTGATATATATGATGTAAATTTGATGTAAATGATTTACATGAAATTTTCATCATTTTGGACAATTACATCATATTTACATCAAATTCACAACCTGCGATTTTTTCCAGTGACGCCAAACACGTTGAAAGTCGATTACAAATATGGTTTACAGTAGAACACAGCACCCTAAAGGTGAGTGTTTCTTGATTGTTGCTGGTGCTTGTTTTACAGCTTCTGAGACTTTCTTGGCTTCGCTGTCTGCAGCAGACGCCTGTTTCACTAAGTCAGGCTGATTGATTCCTTTAACGACAAAAGTAAAGGGAGTTTATTAATAAATTACTTAATAATTCGCTGAATGATAAATGAATTGTGAAAAGCCTGGGTACATCCGTTTCCCACCCCAACCCCCCTGCGGGGAAAATTCCCCTATTTTTTGTGAGGGATAATCGATGCTATAAAAAATGATTGCATGATAGATTGTTTTGAGAATGAATGCATGGGAAAAATAAAAGAATGGATGAATGAGAGAAAAAATGATAAAATAGGAAATAAAGACGGGAATAAATGAGATGGTTGGGTGACTAAATGAATCTATAAGTAAATAAGTGATTAAATGGATAAATGAAATAAAAAACTCATCTGATAAGGATGGCTAAATAAATGGGAGAATGATTGAGAAAATGGATAAAATAATTGATGAAAATTAAGCAAATATATGGATGGATGCATAAAAAGTGCATAGCTAAATGAATGAATAATTGAGAAATGGATAATTGAATGACTGAACTAAGAAACAGATGACCAAGAAAGCAGATGCATAAATGAGTGAATCAATATGGGTGGTTGGCTAAAAAAGCATGTCAAGATAAATAAATGAGCAATTGTTCAATATATTTTTGTAAATAGGATACCAATAACATCTAGAGAAACACACTTAGTATATTACTCACATTTTGTTAATTATTTATTTCCTGGTTCAGTATATTATTTTTGTATTTAAAAAAAGGAGGAATGGCAGGTGAAGAAATGAATAATTGGATGAATGATAGACAAGAAGTATAAAAATATAGTTACCTATCTCGTCTTTTTGCTTCTGTAAAACTTTATCTTCCTCAGCATATTTTAGCTTTGCAGCTTCCATTTCAGCAATCAAGTGTTCCCTTTTTTCAACAACAACCAACATTTCTTGGAGCAATTCCTTCTCATTTGATTTGTCATATTCTGTTTTTATGTTGTCTTATAAAAGAAAAATATAATTCATTTATTAACCAGTTGATCATCCAAAAGAACAAATCAAACAATCAATCTAACATTCACTCATCCAACCAACCATCAATCAATCACTTGATCGATGAATTAAATTATGTGTTAGTCATTACTTACATGCAGTCAATCAATCCATCAATAGTCTTCTTCACGGTTCCCTTCGCCATCTTGAAAGGTAGCCGTGCCTTTGCATCAAAGCGAGACAACCGTTGAGCGTGCAAAGATAAAAACCTGTGAATAATTGTCTGTAGGTGTGAAAGAAGGTTTCTATCATTGCGCGCTYGACGGTTGTCTCGCTTCGATGCAAAGGCGAGGCTACCTTTCAAGATGGCGCAGGTAACCGTGAAGGAGACTATTATTGATCAATCAATACACCAACTAAATCCTCAATGAAAACATCAATTAATCAACTAAATACCAACCAAACCAACCAATCAACCAACTGTGATCTTTCCATCAATCAACCATCAACCAACCAATGGATCACTTAACCAATCAATCAATTATCAAACAACCACATATTTCATTTACTAGACAAACTCACTATCAATCAACCAGCCAATCAGTGGCGGATCTAGGGGTAGAGCAACGGGATCCACTGCACCGGGGTTTTTTTTTTCAGGGCCATTTTTTTTTTTTAATTTTTGATATCAAGAAAAATATAATTTGTAAATTTTGATTAAAAAGATTACAGACGTTTTGGGTTGTGTCCTGTTGTTATAGCTTGTTTTTGGAGTTTGGTAATTTGTGAAGCTCAAGTATTCCAAACAGGTCAAGCCATCACCATTCCCCGACCAACTGGATGGGCTACCTGCATGCGTAGTCTAAGTACGGTCTTGTCAGAATGAGTCATGATTCATATGACGTTAATACATGTATGACGTCATAGAAATCTATTTCCTGATCTGGACCCCGTTTTGAAAAACCCTGGATCCGCCACTGCCAATGGAGGCTTACCAGTTTTTTCAGTGATAGCTCTCAACTTTTTTTCAAGTTCAAGATACTTTTCAGAAAGTTCCAGCTCTCGAACTCTACAAGTACATGAAAGACACAATATCCGGTTAATAATAAACTGAGCACGTCACAAACAAAAAGCCCATTTTTTTTCAGCCCACCTAAAAGTTAGCTCTGCTTCCCTTCTAAAAGTACTGTTCTTGTCACGTTCACTTTCAAACCATTCTTGCCACAGTTGCCCTTTCTCAAGGTCATTCCCTTTGAACGTGTCGATTTGTTTTCTGAGCTTGTTGCTTTTCTTCTCAAGTTTTTTCCCTCGTTTGCTGAGTAAGGTTATCTTTTCTTTCATGATATCAATAGAGCTTTGCGCTTTGCTTACTGATTTGTTATCTTTTGGTTTGTTATCAACACTGTCTGTAAGTAAAAAGAGGAAAAGACAGTCAACATGTATTTATCAATCTGCATTTTAAATCACATTTAAGGATCATCATCCATAGGCATCTCTTTTAAGCTTTTGTTTATGTTAGAAAATAAAAAAATACTTCATAATATAGGTATTTTAAAATTAAAATCAATTAATTGTATTAAAATTATTCTTTATTATTCATTTTTTGCTATATGAATAGAGATATTACAAGAATTGACGTTAAAAACCGAAGGATGGAAACAGATTGTGAATGAATACTATTACCATAAAGATTACTGTACAATATGTAAAATCTATTTTTTATCTATTTTACTAAAAAAAATACTTTTTACATTTCTGTCAACAAACCTGGCACATAGTGAAACTGCTGCTGCACTCCAGGACCAATCCCTAATGCATGCCGTATCTGTTCATCAAGGCCTACCGAGGCACTCTCAATATCTTGATAATGTTGGACACAATAGAATTTATCATGATCAGGAACAAAGCAGTAGTTGAAGTGGTTGAGCCACGATCCACAAATAGCACAAACAAAGCAGGTCTTGTGAAAAACGTGGTTCTCCACGGCAACACGCTCAAGGATTTCTACTTGTCGTGAACATCTGTTACAACGGTCAGTGCTTATCTGGTTATTTTTGTCCTGGTGGGAAATTGATTCACATCATTACAGCAGAAACCGTTGCATCGTGACTACACTGTTCAAAGGAAATCGTTGGAATTTGTTTTTTCTGCGACTTGGGGGCGGAGCTTGATACAAACCAGCCAATGACTGAACGAGTTTTATGAAAAGCTCCGCTCCTCAGACCAAAAGAAAGAACAAAGTCAAAACAAACTTCAAAACGAAGAAGTCGTGATGCAACGATTTCCGCTGTAAACAAATGTTGTGCTGCAGTGGTGGAGTGGTTGTGGAGGGTTGCCGGCCCTTTTGTTGGGCTTGAGATTCTTCTAATTACCAGTTCAATAAACTAAGACAACTTGACTCTCACCTCATTGAGAAGCACCTGAACAGCACTTAGCACCCTATCTGTATCAGTCCCTGCCTGACAGCAATCGTAAATTTGACAAATATAAAGAAGTTATTTTTAAAATGTGGAAGAGTGCTCGCACTAAATGCGTGAAATATAAATACTACAAAATAGGTGATAAATTATACAAATTCCTTTGTTTCCTATTGTATAATCAGCACTATTTAGTAGTAATTAGTACTATTTGTTTCACACTTTAAGTGCAAGCACTCAATTAACTAGCAGTAAACTAGTGTTATTTTTAGCCTCAAGTTTTCCTAAATTCTCTATGCAATGACATAAAAGCCCTTGGTGTCATAAAAGCCCTTATAGAGTCTACATGTAGTTACTGTTTGCATTACTTGATCACATTTGCAAAAAAAATCTAATTTATACACCCAGCCAATAAAAGAAAAGTTCAAGTTTGAAGGAAAAAATACAAAATGAGTAAAAATAAAAAGTTCCAGTTGCATTATTATTAAAATAAGAAAAACTGTTTTACCTCAATACTTTTTTCTTTTTTCCGTTTAGATGCTTTTATGTACTGTTTGTAATGCCATCGTAATTCCTTGAGGATTTCTTGATCTTTAGCTTCAGTTGACCTTCCACCATCACTGCTCCTCCTTGTTATCACTGCACAGAATRGTCAAAGTTACTTATACTGCAGAAGTCATGCATCAATTTATCATTATAATCACAATCACCACCATCATTATCATCATCATCATCACCATCATCATCATCACCGCCGCCATCATCATCATCACCACAACCACTATCAATTGTTTCTTGGTTTCTTGTTGCACACATGAATGGCCTTAGTCACTTCTGGTAAGGTTAGCCTAACATCCAACAGTAGTAGTGATTGATTCATGGCTGTTGCTAGGAAACTAACCCCCCCTCAACCACCTCAAAATAATTTTTTATTTTTTCCCATTTATAGAAGTTTAGGAAGTCCTAGAGAATACTAGCCAGCAACTGTAATTAAACCATACATGTACCTGGAGTGGTGGGCATTGAAACAGCATTGTTGTTAATTGTAACAGGCATCAAGTTCTCCTTCTTTGATTCAACACTGTCTTTATCAGTTTGCTGAATATCAGGCTGTTCATAAAGCCCTTCGATACCTGATAGTGACCTGGATCTCTTATGAGAGCTGTTTCTGAACTGGCGGCGTTTCAGCTGTGCTTGAACCTCTGCTGGTAATTCATGAGAGATCTTGATGTCGCCATGCTTTGCAAGCTCTTCTGGAGGGATTTCTGGGAGCCGTTTCCTCAATTTTTGCGACTCTGAGAGGCTTGCTGTGTCATTTGCTGGATCAGTCATTGCCGTTGTCTTATTTATATAGAGTCATTGTTRACTATATCTACAAAAAAAAATACTTATCATAACTAAGACAATATAACTTTAATAAATAAGTATGAGAGGAAACTGAAGGCTTTTAAATGTTGATCAAACTTGAGACTATTGGAGTATGAAAGTTTACATAGTGTACATCCTTTGATTAATAAACATATTTYTCATAAATCATTTCATAACAGTGAAGTATTTCTAAAACACTTTCAAGAAGTTAGACACTTCAATCAATCAAGTTAGAATTTTGATTTAAATAATACAYGGTAGTCAAGGAGAAAGGTTTTTGATAACAACCAGTCTGGCAATAATTAACAGCCAGTCATCGATAAACAAACAAGGCATGTACTAGTTGGTTACCTCACAGAAAAAAATACTTAAGATTTTGAATGATTAGAAAATATAATCCGTGTTATTTTACAGTAAGAAAAAGTCATAATGGTCAGCTGCTCACATCTCCTATAATGTTGTCTATTAAATCATTGCAAAATGAATAGGAAAATTGTACTTCTTCTATTTCCTTTTCAAACAAAATATGGTTTTAAATATCATGTATTTTCCTTTTCATCCATATAGCTTGAAATTTGAGATACACAGTTTTGTGATTAAACCATAAAATCTATTATGTAAACTGCTTCTTTTGTTTATCATAAAAAAATAACATTGCTTATTCATCACTTAATAAATGCTACATGTATATAAGAAAGCTGTTTTACTCAGGAAGTAAATTTACAAATTAAATAAGCTTGTTTTTCTCAAACAATTTTTAAATTCAGTATTTATACTTCAAGCTCAACAGCTCACTTTGTACWATATTTATCAGTTTCTAGTTAGACTACTTTAATGTATTTTGCTTGTACAATATTTAAAATTATTCACAAATAATGAACAGACAAAATGGATAGCCTGGAGGTGTTATCTTATACTTTGAAACGCTGACAGCAAAACAACAAGTTCAGTGGATGTCATCAGCGAGCATTATACGGTTGTAAATGGACTCGATGAAAKGAAACTACAGTTGTATAAACACAAATCCAGTATCATTTATTACAGAAAGAGAGAGTGCTTCTCCGGAGAGAGCCTAAAGCTCTCCATTAGCAAAGTTTTTAGACAGCATTCATTTAAAGGAAATACATTAGGAGACTTTKGGAAACCCTGTAATATTACATATATATATTGTAATTAATTTGTCAGCTGTTGGTATAATATATGTGGTCGATGTTTGACAAGTTTTTATACGGTAAAAACGTAAATGTTATTTTCATCCAAACGTCTACAATCAACGTAACAAGTAAACTCTATACATCGCTTCATAAAAGACGCACGCGCCAAACGTAAGAGCTTACTCACCTCACAACTATCGTCCATCGTCGTGTTGAATTCCTGTTCAATTTCGGTTTGCTCCACTTGAAATTTTCAAAAGCGAATCACAACACTAGGTTCGATAACGTTAAATGTTTTCAATGGACGTAAAGTTAAAAGGACGAATGTGTAGCWGAACTGAGCGATGGCCGGATGTGATTTGATCCTTTCTAGCAGATGGCGATAAAGTCAACAACATCGAGGGAACTGCATTTTTCCTGCTCACTTCGATCACTCTGGAAACAGCGAAGAGCCTCTTCTTCGTGCGCTCGGTAAGCTTTGATAAACACTCAAAAGTTTCATCTCACTTTTGSTTAAGAACTGAAGCAGCTTAAACTTCAAAAACAGACGGAAAGAAGCCMCGGTTTGAGGAGAAAACATTGTCAATATTAAGGTGCCCTTTTATCACAGTCGAAAGTATGGATCTTTTCGCTGGTTGTCTTGGAGTCAAATGACAAGCRTGTTTAAATTCGACACCCTAATATTATTCCAATGAGTATAGCGTTCAATTTACAATAAAGTTTAGTCTATTTTTCTGTACTTACGCCTCCAGAAGATAAAAAATATTTATCCTTTTAGGATTTTGAAGATGAAGGATAATGCWATATGTGTCAGGCGTTGCTACCGGTTAGTCATTGCATGATGGGAYAAAAATGGCGGGAAAGCTACATTGTAAATTTTTGGGTATTGAGGCTTCCATTTTGAAATACTTTTGATGAATTTAAATTCCATTAAGCATRAAGCAAAGATTTTATTGTCTTTA